TGGGAGTTGAAGTCCACAACTCTTAAAGTTGCCAAGGTTGGACACCCCTGCTCTAACTGAATCCATCCACCTTGCTTTTGGACATCCTCTTATCTGTCCTTCCACCTTTCCCACCATTGTGGACTCCTCAAGGGAAATGGGCTTTTCCATTGTTTGATTCATTATGTTCCAAAAGTATATTTTTGATTCTTAGCATCACGCAGATAGTTTCTCCAGGGGAGTAATGTCCCTACCTGGTCCGTCAGGAGTCTTCCAATGGTGCAACCATCATAACTGTAATGGCCCGTTCAATTTCTCTTGGGTTGTTTTTTTCTCTTCCCTTTCGACCTTCCTAGCATGAGATTTTCTCTCTTGCAATAAGTGTCCTAATCAAAACTCCTAACTTGGGAATTACAATACTCAACTTTGCAAAAATCAGTCTTAATGACAACAGATTAGCACGATTTTCAAAATTACTGTACAAGATTGGTTTTGCCAGATGTGATGCAAAGGTGACATTAGTAAGCGTCTTCATTTAGAGTTTTTGCTCTCGTTAAATCGGGCTTCCCAGCAAATTACAGCATATAATGGGGTTCCTTCTAGCTGAGAGTGTTATGAAGGAAGTCCATTGGGTAGTTTATGGTTCGGTGTATTATGTGAAGCCAGAAAATGGCTTAATTCAGTAGGCAGCTTGAAAAAAATTTTTTTTAATGAAGGCAGCCACAGACTCCACTTCCAAGAAGAGATATATTGAGGATGAGTAAAAATTACATAGGAAGAAAGACGCTCAGCTGTTTTTATGATCTCATCAGGATGTAACAATGCAGTTTAAAGTCCAGGAAGATGTGTAGAACTCTGCTCTTTTGTTCTTCCCATGATAGAAAACAATTCAAATCCAGAAGATGCTTTTAATAGTTCTCCAGATTTTGACATGTTGAGAGATGTAGACGTCAGATATGCGTGTTTTATAACTGGCATGGAGTAATTAAGCAAATAATCATTGCAACCTTCCTTCTCTCTTATAAATAGCAAGTGCTGACTGTATGTAATTTTATTTGAATAAAGTTTTCACTGTTTTAGTACAGCCAAATGTTCATCGGGCGGGGGGGGGAGTTGCACAGGTACTGCAGTTTGGTCTAGGGGTGAAAGTACCAGACTAGAAACCAGGATATTGTGAGTTCTAGTTGCACCTTAGGCATGAAAGTGGCTAGGAATCTTTGGGTCAATTTCCAAAGGATGGCGAGTTCTAATTCTGCCTTAGCCATGAAAGCTGGCTGGGAGACTTTGGATTAATCAGCAGGAGATAGTGAGTTCTAGTCCCGCCTTAAGCATGAAAGCCAGCTGGGTGACTTTGGAGCAATCACAAGAAGATGGTGAGTTCTAATCCCGCCTTAGGCATGAAAGCCAGCTGGGTGACTTTGGCACAATCACAAGAAGATGGTGAGTTCTAATCCTGCCTTAGGCATGAAAGCCAGCTGGGTGACTTTGGGCCAGTCCCTTTCTCTCAGCCCAACCCATCTCACGGGGTTGTTGTCATGGAGAAAAGAAGAGGGGAAAGGAGTATTAGGTATGCTTGTCAACTTGAGCTATTTATTAAAAATAAAGGTGGGGTAAACATAAATCCATCCATCATAGATAGCTCTGTCTGACCACCAATTTTCTCAAAGTTTAACACAAGTATATACATGCACGCACACCATATATGCCATCTTTTCCAGCTTCCTTAAAGATACATGGACTTCAACTCTTCAGCTACAGAATTCTCCTGCTAGCATGCCAGCTGGGGAATTCTAGGAGTTGAAGTCTACACCTCTCAAAGTTGCCAGATTTGAAACACACTGTCAGATTGTTCTGTTCTTACCTATATTTCCTCTTTTCCGGTGTCCAGATTCAATCCTGCTGATTCAACCACAGCAGTGCCATGATTAAAAAAAAAAAACACCTCAGCAGTGAATTTTAATAGTGTCTGTGTGACAGCTAATAATAAAGTGCTGAATATAAACCCAGATAAAGAATTTTAAACAGGTTAGAGAATAAATCAGAGGTGGGCCAACTGGATAACGCAAGTTCAAATTATTTAGATGAGCAAAGAAATAATACAAACACATCTGAACAGGGGCTCAGGAAGGATGGAAATCTGGTTAAATCATGTGTCAAGATAAACCAAAGATTAGCTGACAGTTTTAAACTAGAAGAAACTGTAAAGGTTAAAGGTAATCTGCTTCTCAGATATATAGCCCACAAATCTGACAGCTGCCTTTATTTATATGATGGAAATATTTTAGTCGAATTGACACAGTTCTCAAGAGAATTGTCTCTGCCCTTGAATTTTTATTTTTTTATTTTTCAGCTCAAATATCTATCTGGCTTTGCTTGTTGAGGTCTTCATTTTTAAAGGGGGTCTACGACAATTCACCACAGCTAACTTGCCATGGTCAACTCACCATAGCCAACTCATTACAAGACAAGGATTACACTAATATCGAACAAATAGTAGAACAGTAGAATTAAAGAAAGGAGGAGCAAGATGAATTATGAATGACAAAAATTAAAATTATTTTTAAATTATTTTAAGCTATTCTCCAAAGCACCTGAGGGCAGGACAAGAAGCAATGGGTGGAAAGTAATCAAGGAGAGAAGCAACAAAGAACTAAGGAGAAATTTTCTGACAGTTAGAACAATTAAT